CCGATACAGAAGTTGACTGATTAGACAAGTCTAATGCATACAGTCCATCGCATCTGACTGCTAAAGGTGAAGGTAGCTGATCAGACAGTCAACAGCAACTGATGGTGAAAAACCAAGAGGAAGAACAACAGCAACAGCAGCAGCAGCAACAACAACGGGAAACAGCTAACATATTGGTAACTCTTTTACCAAGAAGCTCTGTTTAATTACATATTTGCAAGTATAAACCAAATTGTTAGCACTTTGCATCTCAAAGTTCCTAACAACGGGCGGTTAATCACAAATTTGCAAGTATAGTTGACAACGACTTGAGTTATTTTAGAGCGATTACGAGCTTCGCTATATCTTTCTCTCTCTCTCAATTTTACATCTGTTTTCTCTTATAGTGAAATGATTTCCATCAAAGTCACAGATTCTTTTTCCCCCATAAACAACATCCCCTACTCGTATCTTTACAGACTGCCAGCAGGCGGTATTGGGTGAGTTTCGCGCCTCTGTAATTTTCTTTGCTATCTCTGAAATTGATACTTTCTTCCGCCGTATTATCAGCGGTTCCAGTGATCCGTAGTATTCATTTCCCAGAGGGTATTATTTCGGACTCTCCTTGTGGAATCTCCACAACTGTATACTGTTGAAACAATATTTCTGTTCGTCTTGGTTCCAAGACCGTGGCTTAGGCGTTGCGAACACGTTTCGTAATTTCGAAACACTACGTTCGATTCCAGCTGCAGACAGTTTTTTTTTAGCAGATCCCATTGCGTTGATTTCAATAATGTAAAAAAAAAAAAAAAACAGAAAACTATAGAACGTAAAATTGTCTAGTAAAACGAAACAGCCGAAAATTACCGTGATTGCTTCAGCCACGCCCTGTAAAAGCTTCGCAACAAGCTATTGATTCTAGAATATTAAGATTTGTTTTCCCTCTAACTAAACAGTATAGTAGAAAAGATAACAAGTTTCAGACATGATAAGCCAGTACTAAACCGGCTCTCATAGATGCATAGAAAGAAAGTAGAGAAAGGAGGATACACAAAGAAACATACCCACGCATATATCCCACACTGGTCCCGTTTTATGGTGGCCCAAAATAACTGTGCTGTATTGCTATACGTTTAAACGGGGTTTCCAGGATTCGTACCTGTTTGATTCTCATCCTTGAGATGTTAATCCTACAGACTGCATTTCAGTAGGGATTAAAAAGGCAAATCTACAAGCTAAAGCTATTTTACCTGGAATTGAACATTTCACCTCCGTTTCTAATCTCTTATGCAGATGCGCTCGACTTCCAAGGAAACACCCCTAATTAGTTGCATTCTACGACATGCTTGTTGAGTGGTTTGGGGGGGGGGGGGAGGGGTGTGTCCATTCTTGTCTCCCCCAAAATAGGTCCCTGGAACCCACACGGGAATTCGGAAAGATAAAACGTTCAAGGAAGGTGTTTTTAAAGCAGTTAACTCCATATTTTTGGGCACTCCATAACAACAGGAAAAGTCGTGCCAACGGTTAAGTTAAAGGAAAATAGCAAGGGAAAACGTGGTGGGCTGTCTTGTTTTCTGGCACAGAAAAGCATCCCTATTACGAAGAAGTGGAAGAAAAAGAGAATGAAGAAGGAGGAGGAGCAAGAGGATTAGCAGGAGTTGGAAAAAGAGGAGAAGAAGTAGAAGAAGAAAAAGAAAAAGAAGAAGAAGAAAAGAAAAGAAAAAGAAGAAAGAGAACTTACAGAAAAAAAGGAGAAACCGAAAAGGATGAAAAATCTAAATTAATCCTGTTTCACCAAGAAGATGACCCCCCCCACCCCACCAAAAAAAAATAAATTAATCCAGCTCCACCAAGAAGATTAAAAATCTAAATTAATCCTGCTCCACTAAAAAGATTAACATTCTAAATTAATCCTGCTCCACACAGAAGACGAAAAATATAAATTAATCCTGCTCCACCAAGACGATGAAGTAACCCACTAAATTAATCCCGCTCCACCAAGAAGATGACAAATCTAAATTAATTCTACTTCACTAAAAAGATAAACATTCTAAATTAGTCCTGCTCCACCAAAAAGACGAAAAATCTAAATTAATCCTGCTCCACTTTTACGATCAAAAATCTAAATTAATACTGCCCCACCAAGAAGATGAAAAATCTAAATTAATCCTGCTCCACTTTTACCATAAAAAAATCTAAATTAATACTGCCCCACCAAGAAGATGAAAAATCTAATTTAATCGGGCTTCACTAAAAAGATAAAGAACATAAATTAATCCTGCTTCACATATAAAAACAAACACTCCATCACATAGATGATAGAACATATATAAATAATGATCAGTCGTCAGTGGTATCAGGTTCCTAGAATTAACGTCATAGCTTTTTTATTATTAGTGCGTAACAAAGAATACATAGAGCTGTTTTCAAACTACCCTTCTCTTTCTCTCTGTCCCCTATGCACACAGTCCTGGACGCTTTCCTTTCTATTCATGTTTTAATTACCTTTCTTGCTTTCATTGAATCAACGTTTTATTTTTCATTCTCTTACGTTCTCTCGATTGCATGCTTTTGCTGTGTTGACAATTGCAGAGAGAGCATTAACAAGTTTTAAAACCGTATTCAATATTCCCATATCATTGTGATCATTGCGAAAATCGTATTGTCCATTCTGGAATTGTGTAGATTGTTTCCAAAACTGTGTTGCCCATTTCAAGAACTGATTATTTAATCGACGCTGTGCGAATTTTGACATTTGTTTTCTGTGTGTGTTGTTGTCGTCGTTGTGTGGGCGTGTGTTGTTGTTGTTGTTGTGTGCATGGGCGATAACGGCGGACGTTGAACGTAAAGACGGACATGAAATTGCAGTATCAGTCCAACTTTTCGTGTAAAGAAAAATGATCTGAGTGTATATGATTGTACCTCATATTGTACATTCGATTCCTTGTGGGTAATAGGTTCAATGGACGTTTAAGGCGAGAATATCAACTTTATTGCCCTCGAAAGCACGAATACTGTAGCCGCAGCAACGATCCCTAGGATCTCCTAAACCTGGAGCTTAGGCCATTTTTGCTCCCACCCTCCCCCACCCTGCCTAAAAATAATGTAAGATAGGAAGGGAGTAGGCCTCATAGACAGTTTTGTAAAAAGGGCGGGGAGAGGAACTACCAGGTCTTTCCACCGTAGCTTACATGCGTTGAAAAAAAAAGTAGCAGAAGTGGAACCAGTTATAATGTACGGAAGTGAATCAATACGGAAGTGAATCATGAATAATCAGCCGATTAGTGAGAAGGGTGGAAGCTAAAGAGAAGGGGTTTTAATGGCATGTGATAAAGTTGTTATCGGCACAGACAAACATAATCAAGATGACGTAACAATACTGTGTGCGTGCGTTTATTTAAAGGTTCTTTTACCTATTCTATTAGCGCTGAGCTCCCAACGAGTTCATGTTTCTGAATATTCAGTTTGCTCCAGGAATGCCTCGCAGCGCGAGGACAGGACGGGATCTGTGGAACGGGCCCTTCAGTCCTCTTTGTATGCAGTAATTATCTGCGTGTTCGATATTTCCAGTCTAAGTTCTGTGTAGTCGACCTCTTGATCTGTTACCGCCGTATCTGTGTAAATTTGCTCACCATTTTACCCTGTCTGTTGCCACAAATACACACATTTTAACAGCAAGCCAACAGGTATATCCTAGATATCCCTTTAACATAAAAAAAAAGTTATAACCGAATCACTAACGGCCACATCACACCGGTGTAGCATGCAGCCCTGTGTGGGTATGGACTCTTGTCACAAAACTTTCCTTAACAGACTGACAGTTAACTAACATCTCTACACCTGTGGCTGAGCCAGGTCGACCTACTTTGAACCAGGTCACTTCAGCACACATAAAAATGCGCTGGCTTACAGGCTTACTCCCGGGCTGTACTTGGCAAGTGAGGCATTCTCACTCCGTACTCCGTACCTGTGTTCAGGCGGGACCAGCGAGGAAAGTGACCCTGTTAATTCCAAGCGCAGGTACTAGTCCCCGTGTATAATTCTGAACAAAATTAACTCAGAAACGATTTGTGGTTTTCCCTTACGAGAAGGAGCCTATTTTCTGCATCTATGTTCAGTTAGACGTAAGTTTTAATTAAGAGATGCTTGTTTCCTAGATCCGATAATAATTATTTTGTTTTAATCACTACTGTGATCAGACATAGCATCATAATGAGGATATTCACTCGAAGTCGTCCGATCATTTCACTCCACTGTTCAGTTTTACAGTGAACTCTCTTCGACTCAGATGAAGTCTGAACTATAATATTCTTTTGTTAGTGTGTGATTTTGCTTTGTTTTGTTATAGTACCATCATTTCCTCTTGATATTCCGGAATATTCCCATTAATTATACTTTCTGTTATTTCTAAAATATACACGGTTTACCAGTGAACAGTTCTAATCTCTCTCTCTCCTTCTCTCTCTCTATTTTACCCCCCCCCCCCCGCCCATTCAGGATCGAAAACTGACATGTTTAATAAATTTCTTCTTCTTCTTCGCTGGCTGTAAACTCCGGCGGAAAGTTCTGGTTGTTCGTCCACTTCTGGACTGCACTCTTGTTCCAGAGCCTGAGTGTTGCGTGTACATTCGTTTAACAGATTTGACTAATATGTATGCAGACTGTTGGTTCCTTGCCTCTCAGGCAGATGCACTCCGACTTCGAAGGAAGCTTCCAGTGGGTCTCTCCTTGTTTTCCCTATAATAGGGCCTCGGAACCCACAAGGGTATTTGATGCATTTTATATAAAGTATCTTGCGTTTGGTACTGTTTAAATTATCGCATCGCTATAGTATATTTTGCTACATTTGTGTGAATATTACCATAAATTAACAGGTAAATAAGCATTTAATATGTTTAAAAACACTTGATTGTCTTTATTTCAGAATGCAATGAAAATAGAGATTTTTTTCCCAGATATTTCAGGATTCAAGAATAGACTGGTCTGGATTTTAATACAATGAAACGATGAAACAATAAGAGTTTAAAATACTTTTCTTTGATTTCAATATGTGAAAGTTTACATGCTGATTTAATTAGTGCACCAAAGTCAGCATCGAATGGCTTCGGACTTAGCTGCCAAATCATGACAGAGACTGTGTTAGGAAAGACACCCATGCTGAAGTTAAGGATGGATAGAAAGCGCACGGGGATTCAGAAGGTACTAGACTGGAATCAGTTTAGCAGCCTAGAAATGGAGACATTATATCAGCGATACGTCTTCAAGATCCAGCAGTCCGCTATGATGTGTATGGCTCTTCTATTTACTGTCTTATGTCTCAGCTTGGCTGTACTGACCACGGCATTTGTCAGAAATTATACAGTCTACAGCTTGTTCTTGTATGGCGAAGGCTTGATATTTTTCATCTTCTTTATCGTGATGAAAAGCAACTTGATGAAAGAGCAACACTTCATGGCCGTGAACTACGTTTTCCTTGCATTTGTGACAATTCTGGGAGTTGTGAGTGTTCCGCTACCCTTTGGTTCACCACCTGGCTTTGAGGATCATAAGTTGAATATGGCTGACGGTGCTTGGGTTGTTGCCTTTGTAATATTTAATATATACGCCCTGACCCCTCTCCAGACTTTGCCTAAGTGTATCTTAGGAGGATCTATTCCTCTGGTTCATCTGGTGGTGTCTTCACAAACGTGTAATCAGCTTCCGGATTTACTTTGGCGGCAGGTGAGTATTGTTGTGTGTTTGAGTGTTTTTGGTTGTTTGTTCTGGTGTCTCGCTGCTTTCAGCAGGATGTGTATGAAAAAAAAAAAAAAGGGAATACACTTATTTGCAACTTCTTTGTTGTGTTGAGGGCGTTTATTATATCCGGATAAGGTGGTAGTAGCCATCTTTCGGTAGCAAATCTTGATCATGTCAATAACAATTCGGTTTACTGTTTTGAATATCCGATATCTTGACAAGTTGCAGTGTGGCCAGTTATTTTACCAGGGTTCATGCGCTCCACCACATGACATTGATTGGGAAAGGGGGGGGGGGGTTGAATTAAGGCCCCTAAATAATGTGTTTGCTGTTGGAGGGGCTGTTCCACAAAAAACTTTTGAGGGAGGGGTCTCTGTCCTCTACAGAACTGTTGTTTGTGGGGGAGGGGAGGGGGGAAGGTATGGTCATGGGGGACTTATGGTGTCTGAGCTTCCAGGTCCCGGCGTCCATCTTCCAGGTCCCGGCATCCAGCTTCCAGGTCCCGGCGTCCAGCTTCCAGGTCCCGGCGTCCAGCTTCCAGGTCCCGGCGTCCAGCTTACAGGTCCCGGCGTCCATCTTCCACGTATATTATTAAATTTACCTTCCATTTTACTTATTAATAATAACAACAATAATAATAATATGTTCAATGCCGAATAAATACGTAACGGAAACAATATTAAATGTATGAAAATACTTTTAAAGATAATTTATTTAAATGATTACTGGGGCTTTTATGTAATTCAAGCAGTGTATCGAAATAGTCATTTGTGTCTAGTACTTTCCAGAATCTAACTCACGTTACAGGCATCAGGATTACTGATTACTGATATTTAAAAAAAAAAGAAAAACTGCTTTCGACATCATAACATCATCAGCTGTACCCACAGATACTACGTCTCCTGCAGCAAATGTCTCACGCTCTAAACACGGACTGTTGTAGTACACGTAGTAGCACATAAGTTAAAAAACGCAACGTACTCTTACTCTCATATGCCCCCTTTTTTTACTGGATCCAAACCTGTTTCCACATTCGCACAACTTTACACATTGTTTCATCTAATATCTTGTTTCTTATCAGCATTCGTTCCTAAATGGGTTTAAAAAAAAAAAAAGAATATTCGCCTTGTCCATTTTAAATGTTGCTAGCACTGCCGCTTTTCAGCATCAGTATTTCAGGATCCTCGCCGGTGCTACAAAGTTCATGCACAGCGCTAAGATTCTTCGGACTCAGGCTTGAGTGAGAAATTGAACGGAGCACTAATGGGTTACTACCCGTGTGCCATGATGTTGATTCGTTGTCTAAACCTAAAACCCAGCATCAGGAAACACTTCCGTTTTCTCCAGCTCCCCCGCCATGCATAGTGTGTCATCGTCGTTCATGCCCCTACCCACGGCCTTCTCTATTTATAGGCCAAACAGGTCAATGGGGATTCCCGTTCTTGTGCAAGAATGGAGTCCCTCTGTGTTAACAATTTTTATAGAGGAGAAGTATATACAAATTAAACTACAGTTTCATTAATTTGCGACATATTTTATAGAACTATTTGTCAATTTTAAGGTAAATAAGTGTGCTATTAAAATATAACAATAAAGGCTATTACTGACAAACAAAAATGCTTTTGCGACAGTCAACATGAACATAAACATCAATAACATATAGAAATAAACTGCAAGTTATTCCAGCAAAAGTAAAGAAATTTTCTTATTAGTGCAAACTCTTTGATTCTGAGAGGGTATTATTGCATCAGAGGAGCCGAGGGGGAAAAAAAAGGGGGGGGGGAGGGGGGGGTTGCATTTGTAATTTATCAAATTTTGCGCATAAAAATATTGCTGTGAAACATACACATGTCATACATGTATATAAATATAAATGATTGATGGTTATTATTACTATTAGTAGACTACTGCATCATATAATTATACTGTTATTTAATAATTAGTAAACAAGTACAGTCAATATTAAATTATTATGTGCAATAATTTAATAATAAAATAGAGACGGCGTTGCCCTACCTATCTCGTGGTGTCGTGTAGGTCGGCCCCTGTCTCGTCTTTCGGGAATCCCGCCATTCGTTACTATTCTTTTTAGACGAGTGTGATTAATGATGAGGCCATAGTGTGCTAGTTTCATATACATTATAGTGTTTGTGAACGGAGTGGGCTGTGCAAAAGGATAGTTGCGTATCCTTTACAGGATGTTGCAGAACCATCTCCTACAGCTGTTGTGCTGTTTTTCTAGGCAAACTTACGTCCAGTAGTTTGCCATTGCTTCTGGACGGTCGGTTTTCTTGATACCACTGTCAAAACCAGCGCAAGGCGCATGGCCCGCAGCTGGGATCGAACCCGGCATCTTGGCATTACGAAGCGTTCGCATCGATTTAGCCAGAGAGCCGACACAGTGCAGATACGGGGCGATAAAAGGACAGTTTGAGGGAGAGGCAGGGACATCGACAGACATACAGACAGGCAGGCAGACAGACAGACAGACAGACAGACATACAGACGGACGGACGGACGGACGGACGGACGGACAGACAGACAGACAGACAGACAGACAGATAGACAGACAGACAGACGGACGGACGGACGGACGGACGGACGGACGGACGGACCGACGGACCGACGGACCGACGGACCGACCGACCGACCGACCGACCGACCGACGGACGGACGGACGGACGGACGGACCGACCGACCGACGGACGGACGGACGGACGGACGGACGGACGGACGGACCGACCGACCGACGGACCGACCGACGGATCGACCGACCGATCGACCGACGGATGACTAGATCGATGGATAGATGGATATATATATATATATATATATATATATATATATATATATATATATATATATATATATATATATATATATATATATATATATTTAACATATTTACTTCATGACATAAAAAACACCAACAAAAGATTGACATGTACAAGACTAAAGACTATGGACAACCATGATGACCATGACCTTCGCAGCACCGAATAGACACTTTGGTGTTCAGTTCTGGTTGAATGCCTGTTAGTTCACCGTATTCTTAGCATTTGAGTTAATAATTATATAAGTTAGTTGCGTATCCTTAACAGGACGTTTCAGAACCAACCCTAGCAGCCCCTGACTGTTGTATGGTTTCTCTAGGCAAATTTACGTCCAGTAGTTTGCCATTGTTAATAATTAAATTGTATTGAAATTCTCATTTCTGTAACATTTAAGTTAGCATTTAACTTCATAAATTCGATTTCATTCTGTCATTGTTGTAAAACAGCACGTTGGTGTAGGAAGATTGAGTTGAAATAGACGTGCGTTCTGTTAAGTTATTCTTCACAGTTATTCTATTTACCACACGGAGTACTCGCCCTTTGAGACATATCACAAAGCAGTAAACCGCACATTGCTTCTGCATTGTTGAAAATAATCTTCTAAGGATAACATCTTCTATATTATAGGTGTTGTCTATTAAATTAAATCCGTTTAAGGCTCTCTCAACTAAAAGTATGTTTTTTTAATTTTTATTTTATGAAGAAGGTTCTTGACAGAATGCCACTCTTATCACATCTATCACTTAAAAAGTGTTCTTCTTCGTTTTCTTTGCATGCGGGTTTTTATGCTAAGATCAGACGTTCGGGTGGGTTGCCTCTTTGAACTAGTCAGCTGCAGGTCCTGCATGCTGTCCTCTAGCTTGTTCTGCACACTTTGCTCTTAAAGCCAGGTTTCTTTTCGAAGTTGCAGGTAGAATGGGCAGTTCTACGGAATGTGCTGAGGTGTTTGTGGTCACGTCTGACAGATTGTTCAAACTGTTCGAGTAAGAGAGTAGAAATTAGCCTACCGGAACGACCCTGCCAGACAAACTATTGGAGCATCTGTTAAGATCTGCAGTGCACCCTCCTATATATGACCCACATTGGAGCAGACGCACAACAAATGTTGATAGCTGAAAAGGGCATTTATCAGGAAAGACTGTAATCTTTAACAGCCACCGTTCCTAGTGCATTCTTCTACCAAGAGTGTCTTTATCATCCCTTTGTAGGTAACCACTGTCTCGTTTTCCAGGAACCACGCCGTTCGTTATTGTTCTTCTAAACTAGCATTGCTTTTGATGCTTTTCAGTTTCCTAGATATTCTTATGTTTAATGAACTATGGTTACGACTGAAAACCTCATGACAACCGGAAATATATACGGAGAAAGAAACATAAGATATATATATATATATATATATATATATATATATATATATATAGAGAGAGAGAGAGAGAGAGAGAGAGAGTGAGAAAGAGAGAGAGAGAGAGGGAGAAAGAAAGAGAGAGAGAGAGAGAGAGAGAGCGAACGAACGAACGATCTTTGTTTTCAAAGGGTCACAAATCGGGCACACAGGCCCGTCTTTCATTCGTCCATTCCAAACACCCGTGTATCACATAGCAGTTGTGATTGACGAGATAAAAGTGAACTATGCCTGATAAAACATTGTGCGAAAGATTGTTTGTGTCTTCTTTGTGTCACGTTTAATTAGTTAGTTGGTCGACATATTATCCTCATTGCCTATAGAACCAGTCAGTCCATAAGTGCTTGAATCCCCTTCTCAGACAATCCTGCAGCATTTAGCAGCTGACAACACCAGTTCTGTGTTGGTTCATTCTTTTTCTTTGATTTCCCGCATATTGCTCTTGTGTGGCTACACCTCTGTTAACTTGCTGTTCTTGCTGTCTGGTCATGGTTGCAGATTCACAGTCGCTTTTTCACAAACGCGTTACTTCACATAAAGCCTGGTCCATGGCTCATTCGCCCTTCACAAAAGTCTTACCTGCACGCCCATCAGCTTGTTTATTTCCTTGCACGCCTGCGTGCCCTGGCACGAACATAAAACAGATGTTTGCCAGCACTGACAGCCTCGGAGACACCAACAAATGTCTTGGGATGCAACACATCTCTGTCTTCCTGAACCTACTCACTGAATCATTTAGAAAGCATGCGCGGTGGAAAGTCTG